TGCCGGGGAGAGCCGTGCACGCTCCTCTCCTCCTAAGACGCACGAGCAGGCTTCCGCGCTTTCCCCTTTTACAGGCCCACACTTTTTTGGCTAGAACATGGACTAAATCAGCCGCAGAGGCCAAGAAAACAGGCAATAGGTCCATGGGGACGGTGGGTCGGATGTTCATAAGTTCCTCACGGGTGTAGGAACAGCCAGATGCGCAGTTAAAAAGTAAAAACAAAAGAAAAAGAGCAGCAAAGAGCCATGTCGACCGTACAAGGCGCCATCTTTGTTGATTATTATTATTGTTTCATATGCAAAAAGAAAGGGCATTGGGCCAGAGAATGTGAAGCATGGGCCAGAGAATGTGAAGCAAGTTCAGATGAGGCAAAAGGGGAATACGTGGGAAAAAGGGATAGAAAACAAAAACATCACAATGCTTGACTAGGAAGTCAAAACAAAACTAAAATTTTGACAAAAAGTAATGATGATAAAGAGCAAAATGATACAGAGACAATTCCAAATGTAAAAATGACTTCCAACATTAAAAATGAAAATGGACATGATTCTGATTTGGGAAAGCAATGTGATGAGTTCCTAGATCTCACTCAACTAGATATCTGTTATGTGAGTAAGCCAGAAATAACACTGTACATTGAAGAAAGACCCAATGTGTTCCTTTGTGATACTGGAGCTGATAAAACAGTAATTAGAGATGTGAGAAAAATACCCATTTCTAAAAACTCAATCACAGTAAGATCAGCAAATGGGTCAGTCCAAACACAGCATTTGAGTCAGTTGATTACAATAACTAATCCAGAAACATGTGATGAAGCCATGTTGAGGGTGGTCCTCTCACCGCTGTGTCCTTATAACCTACTAGGACGCGATGCAATGGTTGCTTTAAAAATGGGAATTTTTCCAAATAAAAATGGAAATATGGAGGCTAGGCGTTGTAAAAACCCCGATATCCATGTCCTAGAAGGGGAGACATCACTATTGTATTGTTGGACTTTGGACATGCCAGCAAGTGACCCTGGAGAAACAGGGAAAGAAATTGTAAAAAGGGCAAATCAAGCATTAATCCAAGTGCCATTGTCAAACAAAATGATGAGTTACATGTCACTTTGAGACACAAAAGAACTCCAGGAGGTGATCCAGTTCATGATAAACTAGTACAAAAATTGGGCCCACAGCGGGTTCAAATTAGAGACATTTACTGGAGAGACAAAACAAGCTTTTGCACTGTAGGAGTGACAGATGCAGTAAAACAGCTTATGGGGGATTTGCAGAATCCACATATCTCTATATCCAAAAACCCAGAGGCAATGTGGAGTGATAACAATGCCTTTGTTGGTCAAGTGGAATCACTTAGAGATTGGGAACAAGATAAAGAAGTAGGAGTATACTTGAGTAAAACAACTGGTTGGAGAAAACAAAAGAAACTGGACAGTAGTATGTACTCCAGCTGTACATCTAACTGACCAGGATCTTGCATGACAAATGACTCTCACACAAGAAGAGGAGGAGGAGCTTGAGCAAGTTCCAGATGAGGTGTGGTCAAAAGGGCCCACAGATGTTGGGTTAATGAAGGGAATATTACCAGTGGAGATCAGAGCGAAAACTGAATACAGGCCCAGGATAAAACAATATCCTTTAAAACCTGATGCAGTAGAAGGAATAAAACCTGTAATACAGGATTTAATTAAAAAAGGAATAATTCAAAAATGCTCAGAATCCCATTGTCACACACCAATTTTCCCAGTAAAAAAGGCACCTCCATCCACAGCCTGGAGAATGGTTCAAGATCTGCAAGCTGTGCATGAAGCCGTTATTCAGAGAGCACCAAATGTCCCTGATCCATACACACTGCTAAATCAATTATGATCAGAAGTTAAAATCTTCTGTGATTGATCTCAGCAATGCATTCTGGTCAATTCCAGTGCATAAAGACAGTCAATATTGGTTTGCATTTACTTTTGAAGGGGAAAGACATGTTTTCACAAGATTAAGCCAAGGGTTTGCTGAATCACCTACAATTTTCTCTGATGCAATAAAACATTGTCTTGCTGAGTTTAATCCACCAGAGGGAAGCCACATTTTGATTAATTAGAGGTCTTTAAACATCCAATTTAGCTTATTGAGATATCTTTAAATGTCCAATTTCAGTTTAGAAGTGGTTAATCTTTTACTTGTTACATTGTACAAGGAGAATGTCTTGACAGAGGCAAGGCACAGACCCTAGCCTCTCTCAGGAAAAGTCTGAAGATTCACAGTCTGCAAGCCCCTTTTGGCAGAACAAGACACACCTTCGTATGCAGAATGGGAAAGGAAGAAACCAACACAACAAAAGACACTTAGCATATGAGCTCCCCAGACCTCCCGGTGTCTTCCTGAAGCTAAAGTGAATTACAATACAGAGCATTCAGCACATAGCCACATATGATTTACCAAAATGATAACTTAAGTTACATTCCAATATCAGTTACCCGGGAGACACCATTCCCAGATTGATGGGCTCCCCAAAATACACAGACAAAACTTTCCACTTTGGCCTATTGTCTGTAGCATAGACTCGATCACCTACATTTTGGCTAAACACCTCAAAACCATTCTGGCTCCTTTAGTGGGTAACACCCACCATCACATAGAAACACATAGAATTTGTAAATAAAATCAATTTTTACGTCGGTCCCTACTACAGAGGCGGTGGAGGCTATAAGAGAAAGCCTCCAGAAAGACACCACACTAGGGGACAGAACAAAACTGACCACGTGTGAAATACTTCAAATGTGTCTTAACACCACATATTTCCAATTTGGAGGCACCTTCTAGACAAATTCATGGCTGTGCGATGGGCTCTCCAGTTTATCCTATAGTGGCCAATCTGTATATGGAGAAACTGGAAAAACAAGCCCTGGCCTCTTACCAAGGGTCAGCGCCAAGGCATTGGTTTCGATATGTAGACGATACATGGGTTAAGTTAAAGAATCTGGAAGTGGAACCATTTCCCTTGTATGAAATTCACTCGTGAGGATGCTAATGTAACAACTGGTTATTAATGTTTAATAGAATAATGGAGTTGACTTTTAAGTATAGACTAGTGGGATCAGAAGAGTAGGTACGCTACTGGAGGATAGGAACAGTGAAAAACCAACCAGGAACCAAAAGGTAAGTTTAAAGTAAGTGTATTTTACAAAATATATAAAAGTGAACAATAACCAAATATTTACAGTGCAGGAAAATAATACCGGTAACAACGGAAAGTCCAACTAATCAAAAGAACTACAGTCTTTATCCAACCCGTATTCCAGGGTTTTTGAGCGGTACAGTACTGCCCACACGGTGGCGCACCACGGAATGTCCAGTGATTGTTATTGGCAGAAAATGACGTATGGCCAAGCGCAGTTGTATTGCAGAGTTTGAATATGGAGTGGTGTAAACCCACGACGGGTGGAAGAAGGAGACAGGCTGAGCCTCCTACCAGACCAGTAGTGTGGACCAATGATACGATGGACTGTTCCAGGCACTTCTCTCTAGCTCGCCATCACCTGACCCGGAGTTGGGTCACCTGGCCTGTACAAACAAGGCCACTTAAGTTGTACATACAAAATAATAACATGGTACCAAATACAAAAAACTAGCATAAGCTATGCTAATAAAATATCCTGGAAACGCTTAAAACAAGGAGAGCATGGTTCCCAACAAAAAATAATCCTGTGTTAGCTAAATGCTAATTAGCATGCTAATGCTAATAAGCATTGGCTAATTACATAAACCAAAACACATGATCGTACAGCTAACAACTTTGATAAAAACAGTTTAGCATGTCGGCTAGTTAGCATGTAGCTAAGTTAACTAAATGTACATGACAACACAACTCACCAGTTCAGTTCAAATCCCTGCCCATGAACAGTAACCAATCCACAAACAATGGACACTATGGACTCTGGAAATTAACAATTGAAAGATGAGTGTATGAGTGAAGTTTGAATTGTATTATTCAAAAGTTAGGTTTCTGACCTGCAGCTGCTGTCTCCTCTCCCACCACAGTGAACAGAGGAGCCAGGGCAGCTTTTACCTCTGTCTAATTAGCGCTCACTCACTTCAGGTGTGTGGGCAGGAGCATGTCATGCAGCCTGCAGAGAAAACCAGGTATGAACCAGGAGTGTAGGGGAAAACCTGGACTGGATTTTAACCCTGGGTTACACTAAGGAGAGTGAACTCGCCTTTCTAGATTGTAAGGTCATCACACTTGAGAATGGACAATTACAGACTGAGGTTTTCAGAAAGTCCACTCACACGGATCAGTACTTTGATTCAAATCCTCCGCTACAACAAACTCGGGGTCATTAGAACGCTCCAACACCGAGCCCACCAGGTCCCCACAAGCTCGGAGGGAAAGAACAGAGAAACCAAACATGTTCAGAGAGCACTTTCCAGATGTGGCTACCCCAAGTGGTCTTTTCCTAAAGCCCAAAGGACGAGAGAGGCCAGAGACACAGTCCAAAAACAGAAGAAAGTAGGATGAGAGGAGTGTCTTTACCTTATGTGGCTGGAGTTTCAGAGAAACTACAAAAGTATCTTTAGGCAACACACAATCCCTGTGTATTTCAAACCTTTCAACACAAAAATTGGAGCATCCCAAAAGCAGAAAACCCAGACACAAACAGAGCAATGTGGTGTATTCAATTAAATGTAAAGAAGAGGAGTGCACTGACCACTATATTGGAGAAACCAAACAAGCTCTACAGAAACGACTTTACCAACATCGTAGAGAATACTCTAGTGGACCACGATCGGCTGTTTATCTCCACCTCAAGGCCTCCAACCACATCGTGAACGACACATAGGTTAAAATTCTGGCTCGAGACAAAAATTCTTTGAGGGGTGAAAGAAGTCATTTTTGTGAGAAGTGTCAGGTGTGGAGCAACCAGTAACTGTTTAAAAAATGAATGTGCACAGGCTTAGACTTCATATAATTTTATTATTATAATTAAAATGGCCAATTAAGAGATTTAAATAAGACTAAAGGTCTTGAGGAGGCCTGGCCAAAAGGGGGAGGGGAAGGCCGCTCTCTGCTGGGCCACTCTCTGCTGGGCCGCTCTCTGCTGGGCCGCTCTCTGCTGGGCCGCTCTCTGCTGGGCCGCTCTCTGCTGGGGCTGGCGCGCTGCTCCGCTCTGCTGGGGCTGGGCCTGGCGTGCTGCTCCGCTCTGCTGGGGCTGGGCCTGGCGCTCTGCTCCGCTCTGCTGGGGCTGGGCCTGGCGCTCTGCTGGGGCTGGGCCTGGCGCGCTGCTCCGCTCTACTGGGGCTGGGCCTGGGCTTGGTGCGCAACACCAGTGTTGTTGCTGAGAGAGTGGGCAATCAGGCGCCGGTCTCACACGCACGCACACAAAAACAGAATCTGGGGCTGCTGGTTCACGTCCCTGTATATACTCAGCTTGTCTGGCGTTGTACACAGTGCCCCACTGAGCCGGGTTCGCTGCTCCACTGGGTCGGGTCTGCTGCTCCGCTGGGCCGGGGCCGCTTCTCCGCTCGGCCGGGGTTCTGCTTCTCCGCTCGGCCGGGGCTGCTTCTCCGCTGGGCCGGGGCCGCTGCTCTGCTCTGCTTGGGCTGGGGCCGCTGCTCTGCTGGGCCGGGTCCGCTTCTCCGCTGGGCTGGGGCCGCTGCTCTGCTCTGCTTGGGCTGGGCTTGATGCGCCACGCCAATGCAGCTGCGGAGAGAGTGGGCAATCACGCTCCGGTCTCACGCGCACGCACACACACACAATCTGAGGCTGCTTGATCACGTCCCTGCATACTCAGCTTTACGGGGCGTTGTATGTGGGCTCTGCAGTCCTCTCCTTGGGGTACGCTGCCCTTTGTGCGTGCTGGTCCTCGTTTCACCTTGTCCTCTGTCCTCGTTACCGAGGACAGAGCTCCCGATTTTCCTTCCTTCAGTCCCTCTGCCCGGGTTTTAAAAAGGGGAAAGTCCTCCAATCCGGCCAATCAATCACAAGGGGGAGGGCTATCAATCAGGACTGTCCCAGGCTCAATCCAAAGTCAGTATATTAAACCACTAAAAACCAAGTCACACTAAAAACACTACACACAAATAAAACTGGCTTTAGATTTAGAGTCCCAGGCTAAAATCTATGTTTGACAGAAGCACAAACCTCTTAACAGAGGAGGCGGATTAAGATTTGTTTTGCCTCACATCTATGACGATGTCCTAAAAACAACGCCTTAACTATAGATAGGTCAGTGCAATGGTGTAGGTTTGGTTCCAATCTTGGTGGGGACATTCACTACGACCTGAGTCTACACCCATTGACACGGGGTCCAGAGTTTCTCCCCCAGAATTTGTTGTGTAATCACACACTATATTTGCAATAGTGTGTTGCCTTCTATACTAAACTCAGCTGTAGACTGAATGAGAAGCAGTTATGTATGTTAACAGAAGATTAATCATCACAATTCATAATTTGCTATTACTTGTGCTTTCTCTTACTTACTTTCCAACTGTTAAAAAAGCTCCTGATATCTTTTATCTTATTTGTGGAGGTGGCATTTTTTCTAAATTATATAAGAAGGTATAGACAATCAAAAACAGACATTCATATACATGAACTGCAGAATCATTTATATAACTTGGCCAATGTCAAAAAGTTTCTCAATACAATGAGTTAACAAGAGTTTGGCAATAAGTAACAGTGTGGATGTTTCTATATTTTCTTTTTTTTATTCCACTCTCAACCCAAAAAGGCAAGTAATGACTCACAGGGCTCTCAAGTATGCAACATAAAAACTTAAATGACCTGTTGTGGTGTGTTTTGCGAACAACCAGCATGCATCGTTAAAGTGGTTCTCACCCCCGCTCCTCGGAGCTTACGTCACTCACATTTCCTGTTCAAATCTTCCTCTAAATGGGCGTAGCCTGGAGGACTGAAGGGGGCGTGAACGAGACTGGGCCGTTTATATTGCTCTGGGCGGGGGGCTGCTGACGTCAGGTCCAACTTCTGTGCCAGTGTTGGCGCCAGATTCAAAATTCAAATGTAGTAATACAGGTCGCCAGCAGATGGCGCCTCACAGACGGTTTTAGGCAGAAAGTTTAACTTTCAACTAATTTGCACCAAAGTGAAAAAACTATGACCAGGATATGTAGACAACACTATTGGACACTCATTTAAATCGTTTATCAGCAAAAAAAAGTGGATTTGAGGGTGAGTTGATGGAAATGGAAAATTTAGGTATCCGAGCTTTAATTTCGGGAGCGCTGGTTGCGCTTTGGGAAGAGTCAGGGGAGAGACATGTCAGAGACACAGGGGAGAAACGGGGGAGATGCGAGGGAGACCCGCACTTGCAACATGGTTCTGTCTGCATATGGTCCGAGCTCGGTACCATGTTAGAGCTGTGCTTTCACTGAGCGCCGCGGCTGTCATTACAAAGCGGCAGCAGCTGCACCAGGACGTGCACATTCGAGTGCATCGCTTGAATGTGCTTAGAGCAAATAACAGCAAGTGCCCGCTGTCACACATTTCACAGAAATCACATTATCAGCAGATAAAGGTTGTAAATCGTGGATCCGTGGAATATTTTCATCCCTAGTTTATCCTGATTCACACAACACACTCACTTATACATTTTGGATAGTAAGAGCACAATAAGTATTTTTTCAGCCTTTCAACCAACCTGTTTCTTTATTGGAGCCAGTTCTGTTCTGTCTCTGTGCCGTGTGAGCTCCTCGGGACATTAAACAGTGCGCTGACAGATTAGAAATAACGTAAGTACTTTGAATGGTAATAGATCTACAGTACTTTCCTCTGATTACTCACGTGCTTAAACGATCAGGGAACGAAAAAAAAAACACTTGCTTCACGCTGGCTAACTTTTAAAAATTAAACAGTCGCTCAGTGCTTCAGTTTGGCGCTGAAGAAGACAGCCAATCACTGCAGAGAACGGAACGGGTCACGTGCTGCTGCTGCTGCTGTTGCTCTGGAGGCGAGGAGGAGGCGCGACGTATGCACAAACGGAAGACATGTGTACCGGACCGTCCGGGTCACGGGACATCATGTCATTTTGGTGGGGACTTTTTAGTCCTCACCAAATATTGGTGGGGACATGTCCCCATGGTCCCAACGCAAACCTACGCCCTTGGGTCAGTGACGTGCTAATGAGTTAGGAGTGGGGAGACCTGCACTCCACTCGAGCAATGCCCTGTTTATACTGAGACGCTGCGCAGACGTTTCCAGGCTATTAACAGAAACGACCAGGCTCCTAATGCAAATTTCTCAGCGTTCACATCAGGTTTAAAAACGATGTCGTTCTAGCGCCCGGCCAGTAGTGGGCAGAGAAACTTTACAACACAACCCCCAGCCCCCCTCCCGGCAGTATATTCACTTCCTGTGCCAGACCCTCAGAAAGTACCAACATTATTCTGCATTTTAAGATAAGATAAACCTTTATTAGCCTCACAGTGGAGAAATTTCAGTGTCATCGTTGCACATTACAGCAGAGAAACATTTTAACAGCAGCTGTGAAAATGGAAACTGAACCTAGAGCTTTGCGTGGTCTCGTTTGGACAAACGAAGGAGTAGACTTATCCTCTGTGCAGCGCTCGAAGCCGGCGAAGCTAGTTAACTAATCTTAACAGACCTTAGGGGCAGTTTACACGGAGACAATGTGGCAGTATCAACCGTTCATACGAAGACTGTGTTCCAGGGGGGTCAAAACATAAGTATTCAGATCCAGCCTGCAAAGTGGGACAGCTCAGGCTGAGTTTACACGGAGAGAAAATGTGGCAGTAAAACGCTAAGGTTGGATGTCGGTTGCTACCAACCGTTCATATGAAGACTGTGTTCCTGGGGGGTGAAAACGTAAGTATTCAGATCCAGCCTACAGAGTGGGACAGCTCAGATACGCTGCACAGTCGGGGGGCTCTTTCACACCCACGAGAGGGAAAAAGGTGTGAAATCCCTGCCCTTCTCTGACCCCCGCCTCCACGCTGCTCCCCACATGTAAATTTGGACATGCGCAGTAGCGGAGAACAAACGTAAACAACAATGGCGGCGGGTACACTATAGCTTTGTGGGCTTTGAGTGCTGCACAGAGGATAATTCTACACCTTTGTTAGTCCAAACGAGACCACGCAAAGCTCTAGTTTCAGTTTCCATTTTCACAGCTGCTGTTAAAAGGCAGAATGATGTTGGTGTGTTCTTTCCCTGTTCTTCCACGTCTTTCGTGTGAGTGTTGTAAAGTTTCTCTGCCCACTACTGGCCGGGCGCTAGAACTACATCGTTTTTCAACCTCATATGAACGCTGAGAAATTTGCATAAGGAGCCTGGTCGTTTCTGTTAATAGCCTGGAAACGACTGTGCAGCGTCTCAGTATAAACTCAGCCTCAGATTGTAAATGAGTTAGCCTCAGAATTAGGGTGTGGCTAACCACACCCATAGGTTATAAATCTCCAACGCGCGGTCTGAGATTTCATTCTCTTGTAAAAGTTCTTTGGATTAAGGACGAAACGTTGGAAAAACCTGCTAATAAGTACAGATGATGGGTGAGAAACCTTCCTTTGCTTTGGCAATTCCCTGTACAACTGAGAGCTTACAAAAACTTATTTACACAGATCATTATTAAAACATTGATTATATAGACTATTAGAGTCTAATGCAGAGTCTTGCATTGTGCTCACAGGTTTGGTTCCTTTTGAGCCATTGTTTAACTTTTTAATTTTAAACTCATACAGGTCTGTTAGAGATTTCAGTTCACCAGGTAAAATGTTCCAGAACTTTTACTACAAACGCAGTCTGATCAAATGTTGTTTTACATCTTGCTGGTCTGCAGTCTCTACTGGCAGCACCCCTAGTGGTCATCCTGTGAGCTGAAAATGTCTCAATCATTCCTGCAGCGATATCGGATATATTGGATATCGGATGAGTATGTTTCTCATCCGAGCCAGAGATCTTTCACACAAAACCTTTTGATGATGCCAGACCATCCTTGAGTTATTTATACTGAGTACAGACAATCAAAATATCTGCATATATCTGGCCTTTCATTCTTTGAATCTTATTCCTTGAAAATTTTTCATTTTTGTCCTAGCTGTACATGTGCGTGAAATCAATTTTGGCTATTGGTACTGTGGCACGTTGTGTTCCCAGAGGTGTCCCATCCCAGTTCTTTCCAGAGCCTGCCCGGCTTAACTTCCCGGTTCTGATGCTATCAGGTTTTCACTTTCAGGTGAAAAGTACAATGGGAGTATTTTCAACCAAACTAGTTATTACAAAGCCAACAAATGCATATTGGTCATTCTGATCAGTCTATTAGTCAATCCAGCTAACATCGGTTTACCTGATCATATTTGGTTTTTCCAACCAACATTTATCTGTGTAAAGCTACTGAGAAAAGTGCATTAATTATCTTTGGGTGGAGATTTTTGGAGATTTTCCCACAAGTGTTAATATGCAAATCTGAAAGACAGACGTCTTCCCACGTGATCTGCCAAGGTTTTAAGCCCGCCCTCGTGCTTGTGCGATGTACAGCTCCCACAGCGGTGGAAGGCTGCAGCTGATCCCATTCTCAGCAGAACGCACACTGTGCTGTAGTCTCTGCTTGTCCCTGACAGGGACCGCAGCAAACCACACTCCATGACGTCTCCAATAATCTCCACTGCCTTATGGGCACTTCAGAGGTGGCTGGAGGTGCAGGGGTTGGTGGGAGACGAGGCTGGACTATTTTTTATGGTTATTTATACGGTATGCAGAAGCACATACTGTAGACATGTGAGTAAGTAAGTGAGTAATCTTTATGGATTTGGCGCCTTTCACTGACCAAAGTAGGGTTGCCAACTGTCCCTTAAAATACGGAATTGTCCCGTATTTTAGAAAAAACTTTGTGCGTCCCGGGACGGCTTTTGTCCCGTATTTTCAGAGCCGCCTTAAATGCATTCACTCACTGCATGTCACACGCGCAACACACGCACACACACTAATCACAGTTTAAGCGTCTACCTTCTGGCCAATCAGTGTCAAAGGGGGCGTGGGTGTAGGCTCGATCACATCCATAGGCTTTTAATGTTAGGCCCCGTCCCAATACTCGCACTTCCACCCTCGCGCCCCTCATTTGCGCTGTCCCAATTCCGCCTTTTTTGCACACTTGTAACCTGCGCACTCCAACCCTGGTGTGCACTTCGAACAAATGCACACTTTGTAGAGGTGTGTAGGGTGCAGTGTGGGTATTGGGATTGGGCCTTAATGTTGACAAGCGCCGAGGGCCGTGCCGGCAGCATCATCACGGTAGAAGTTTGGTAAAGTTGGCGTCAGATTCGGACTTCCGCAGTCAATGGCTCACGAAAGCTACTTTGTTAAACAAAAAGTAATGTTGCCAAAATTATCATATTTACATCGATTGTTCAAATCCAATGCGCTGTTTTAATGCAGAGAAATCCATTGAATCCAGTGCACTGAAGTGCCGAGAAAAGCGCTCAAGGAGCGTCAACAAGTGTCAAGACCAGCTTTGTAAACAAACAATAGCTTTTACTGAAGCCATACATGCACTAAACTCTCAGACAATATAAATACTGACCATGTCTAACTGCTACAGACTTTGATTTCAACATTTGTGAGTTATTTATATTCTAAATGAATACATATGTTTTTCTTTTTTTAAAGTGCTTTTACATTTAATGGTCTTCACTGTAACATACATAAATAATGTATTTTTCAGCATTTGTCTCTTCATTTATATTTTTATGACTAAAAAGCATGCATTAAGTCCTTAACCAGCCAAAGAGTTCCACCTGTTTGTTTAAGATTTATTTTTTATTTTTATATGTAGTCAATAAATTAAGTTCTAAAAACTGTGATTATAAATTTCCATGATTCCTTGAAATTAGGACTAAACAGTGCTCAACCCAATCCACCCAAATGGTGTCCCTTATTTGGCAACCCTAGACCATAGTCACAAAGCGCTTTTCAATTGTGGGCATTAGTCTCTCACTCGACACAGAGATCGGAACGAGATGCCGTTTTAACAAATAAAATAAAGTGCAATAGTCTACATTACAAGAGAGTAATAAACATGTCACTACTCAGAGTGAGGGAGATGCCCTCAGTACCAAAACTATTGTTGTTTGTGCAGGGATGAGAATGGGACATTGAACAAAAAGTCTGAAATGCATGATGTCAGCCAATGGCTGTTATTAAATGTTTGGTTTGCTCACAACATTTTACTTTTGGGCACAACAAACATGAACTTTTAATGCAAGGAAAAACCTAGGTACCCCAGCTTTAATGTAGCGAGTTTAGTTGTGGTTCAGAGGGAGACGTATGGGAGACATTCTTGAGGCTCAATGGTACAGCTCTGTTTCTTGCCCACAGGCCGCTTGTGGTGGGAACCGCTGTCATTACCATGCGGTCGCAGCTGCCCCGGGTCAGAACGCTTCAGCCACAGAGGATGTGGAATCCCGTTTGAATACATACAGCCAACAACAGCAAGTGCCCTGCGGTCATGCACACCCCCTTTGAACATCTTTTAATGGATTTACACATTTCACAAAAAATTAAATGTTCATTTTTTTTGTATGAGGCAGGAGGACCAGGCCAAAAATGCACAGATTTGAGTCGATATGTCCGATGGTCAGTCCAGCCCTGGGGGAAGAAGAGCATGGGAGAAAGAACGCAGCCCTGCGGAGTGTTAGTAATCCAAGTATCTGAGACATTATTTCCCAGGCATGCGCACTGCTCCTTGGCAGTCAGCAATGGGAGGATGGTCTTGAGGGCAGAGCTAAAGTCCACAAACAGGACCCTGGACCATTTCCAGTACGCTAACAAAAACAGCTCGTCCCCAGCTGTGTTAGACAGCAGAATATTTACAGAACATACAGTTCTGAAATATAACAATTTAGTTATAGGAAAAGAGTAAGGAGAAGGAAATCATTATATCTCGTGTCAGGGAATGGGTTTGTATGGCGCCAAAATTGACTGGTTTCTTTGAAATTATAATGACTGTTGGAAAAAGTAGCTGAATTAAATCCTAAGTTTTTTGGGCAATCTTATTTGTTAAAATGATCCAGAACTCATTTGGCGGGGCTTACATTGCAGACAGACAATGACCCATGAGTAAAAGTTTGATGTGCTCGCTTGAGTCGCACAAACTTGAGATTAAATATGAAACCCTTCACTTAAAGCTTGTATTGTGGCCAAGGTCTTAATATTTATGGATATGACAGAACATTCTAAACATCAGACGGATTGGACAAACAACTTTTTTTGTTGTGCTTGTAAAATCCATTTTATTACTGTGAAAACAAACAATATCAACACAAGAGTACAAAAAGAATATTGCGAGAAGACAAGCTCATTTCAAAGTGATCAATACACCAGTTCATTAAATGTATCTTATATACAACTTTATCTTATGTACATGAAAGATGTTGAAGTTTATAACATTCACAATTTATACAAAAACAAGAGCTGATCCTAACAAACCAGTGCATTTGTGCTTTAATAGGAAACAAAGGAAGGAAAATAAGTCAGATTATTCACCTGCACCCATAAGGCAGTTCTTAATATGAGGCAGAGCATCCAATCAAATATTGTTGTGTCTCAAAATCTTAAAAAGTTGAACATGACATTGAAAACTAGAGGTGGACTGGTACGAAGGGAGTGTGGATGAGATAACTGCTGCAACTGTATTTTCTCCACAGCAGGACTAATAATCATTTATTCATTCATTCATTCAATCAATGTGGTTTTTGGAAATTGTCCAAAGACAAAGGCGTAATGCGTTATTACGCCTTCCTCATGTTTCACATAAAACACAGTCTTGTTTCTACTTGTGAGTGACCTCTAAACTGTGTGTGATCATTGAAGATGCACCTTCTCCTGCACCACCATCCTCCTGGAGCCAGAGGGCGCACTGCTGTTTCCTGCCATGTTCCGTGTGCTGTTGGAGCTGCTCTTGTTGGCCCTTGGAGACCCTGAGTGTCCTTGTGTCACACTGCTCTTGAACCCGCTATTTTGGTCCAGTGTAGTGTTAGACCCCATCACCAGCACCCTCTGAGAGCCTGCCAAAGCCCCATTAAGAGCCCCAGGCTCTTGGCCCTGTGCAGACCCCATCACCAGCACCCTCGAGCCCGACAATGCCCCATTAAGAGCCCCAGGCTCTTGGCCTTGTGCAGACCCCATCACCAGCACCCTCGAGCCCGACAATGCCCCATTAAGAGCCCCAGGCTCTTGGCCTTGTGCAGACCCCATCACCAGCACCCTCTGAGAGCCCGACATAGCCCCACTGAGAGCCCCAGGTTGCGGTCCCTGAGCCAGCAGCACTGTCTGAGAGCCGGAGACTCCAGGATGCACCAGACCCTGGCCGCTCTTCAGCACCTGTTTGGAGCCAGAGGGGCCCTTCCCCTCCACCAGCACCATGGTCTGAGAGCCCGACACAGTGGGCCCTCCATGTGATTTCTCCACTAGCACCATTCCCTGAGGCTGCCCCACAACCTGTCCCTGCATCACCAGGCCTTGTGTGGAGCCACTCTGTTGAGCATTCACTAGCATCACATTCTGCATGTTGGGCCCCGGGGCCTCTCTGAGCAGCACTGTGTTCTGCATCGGAGGCTGGACCATGTAGTGCATGGGCTGTACAACCGGAGCTGTGGTGTAGTAGAGCTGCGGCTGTTGCTGGAGGAACAGCACTTGGCCCTGAGGGGCCTGAGGGGCCGGGCCCCTGGGGGCCTCCCTGTTCATCTCTGTGACTGACAGGGTCTGAGTGCGTTCAGAACTCTCTCGTACATCACTGCTGCTGATGACTTCTGCTTTAGGAGGGGGCAGTGGTGTGGGCATGAGCTCTGGTAAGGGTCCCGGGGCCATCACCTTGGATACTGTTGTGTGAGAGCTGATGGAGGTGCTGGGAGGAGGGGGTCCCCTCACTTCGACCTTGGTCCGGCCCCCACAGATCTCAGCCAGAGTCTTAAACTTGGGGTCCAGGTCCTCAAGGAATTCTAGGTCGTTGTCCAGAGCCAGAGAGCTGCAGCAGCCCACAGAGCCCGCAATGGAGCCCTGGCCCTCGTATTTGTACTCCAGGAGTTGGTCCTTCCCAGTCTGGGCCTCGGAGCTCTGCACCTTCTGTTGACACACACACTCAGGTTCAGGTCTTTGATTGTTACAAAAGTTCATTCTCAGTGAAGTGACACCAACCTGGTTGTAGTACTGTCCCAGGAAGTGGTGAGGCAGAGCCATGCCGTCATATATCCCTGTGTCCCTCTCTCTGCTCATGTACTCCGACTGAAAACCACTGCCTCCCATCTGACTCATGCCCCTCCAGGTACCATCCATCTGACCCGCTCCGTAGCCCATCCCCCCATTCATCTCGTCCATTGAAACAAGAGACCGCTGCTGTAGGTTCATAGTTCCCATCTGACCCATGGCTGATGTTTTATTTGCCATTCCTACATCCACAAAGTCTGTGTCATTCTGCAATGGTACGTTCATCAGCTGCTGTAAAGGACACACACAAAGATTTTAATAGTACATTACTCAATAGGATACTGAATCCCCAACAAACAATTGACCCTTACTGTGTTTTCCCCTGGACCCTCTGTGCGGTAATTTATAAGTCGCGATTTGTTGTCAAATGGCATTTCTGCAAATCCACCAGGCAGACCTCCAGCACCTCCGCAGTTACAGAACAAAGCCAGCAGGAGAAGCACTTTAACAAAAACACAGGTCAAAAAATGAAGCAGCCACTCAATTTTCATTTGAGGTTATCATAATTCATAGGGTTCTCACGTAGAAGTAACAGCAGTCCCAGGAATAGCAGGCCAATGCCGGCAGGACCGAATTCTGCAGTTTTCTCTGGTTTCCCGTTCCCTTCTCGTTTGCCACACTTCTCTCCATCCTCACATGTACACACGGTCACCTGGACTCTCTGTGGCTCGGGACATGACTCCCCCTGCTGGTCAGTGATGATAAACTCCACCTCATAGACACCAGGCCAGAGGGACTCTTCTTCTGTCCTCAGGATAACAGCTGTGTCTGTAGATACATTTAGTGGGGTAAGACTAACTATAGTTAGGCCTCAGTGTAGGAAGACAGATTTACCTTAATTTTTTTTCTACTCAATTATTTAATCACCACCTTAACCAGGCCTTTTTTACATTTATTTAGATATTGAAGAGTAATTGCACATGAATCAAACAATGTGTAATTAACTCAATGCATTGAGTTAATTACCTTTATGTCTGTGTGTTTGTAGTCAGGATTGCTAAAGAGACAGATTATCTTCAAATGGGATGTGTAGATGAGATGTGATGGTAGGAAGACCCCCTTAAGATTTTGAGATGATCTATGTTAATGAGCTATGCAGCCCCCAATTGTGCATCAAAAGTCTCTGTTGCCTTCAGCTCAACAAGCCCCTTACGACAATGTGGTATTTAGATGTTTACAATGTTTACAGCATTAAGCAACAAATCACAATTTGTCCTGATCCTGAGATTGAGATGTGATGTTGTGTGAGATCTTGACAGTCCACCTTCAAGCAAACGTTTGACATAATCCGTTATTCTCTGCTTTTCGCAAAATGAGCCACATTTTATACATCTCTTTTACAAAAACATTATTTTTTGTTGCATCTGGAATTTTCTCTAAGCAGAGCAACTAAACATCATCACCCATGAAGTTTTACTTTCATTTGTCACTGATACAAATGTCACATGATGTTTGTCATGAGCTAGTTTGCGGTCTTGGGACAATTGTTTCTGCTATGCAATACTATCATGAACAGTGTATATGAAAACAAGATGAGATAAGACTCTACGAACCATTCAAGTGTTCCACATGCCACTTTCCCTGCGTGTTCTCTGGAATGATGGTAAAGGTCAGGGGCGGTCCGTTTGGGAAAGCGTCTCCATCATCGGCATTGACCAAGACGGCGGTGTCCGTCAGACACAGGGTCTGAGTGGGGAAGGTGAGAGTGGGACACTGGTCATTAAAGTCCTCCACCTGGATGGCTACAGTCCCTGTGGCAGTTTTTCCAGGCATGTCTGATAAAAGCAAAAAAAAAGCAAAAACATTGAATATTTAATACAGTTATGATATTTTTTTCCAAATCTTCTCAAACGTTAAATTACATGGTTTATCAGAATCAGAACTATTTTTATTTCCAATGTTAGTAACAACAAGTCACTAGGAAATTGCTTTGGCTTTCGGTGAAAAACTGAATAAGGTATGCATTAAAAGAAATACAAAGTCTACATAACATTTCATAAAATTACTACTATATACAAGTTATTCATGTGGGAATCCATACCATCACTAATGCAGAGGACTTCAGCGTAGTACGTGCCATTGACCAGCAGGGGGGACTCTCTGTCAGGAACTTTGTTCAGTTTTATCTCTGCTGTCACTGGATCGATGATCAGCCAGTTCCCACGGTCGTTTCCTTTGATGTACCTACACATTTACACACTTTCTTATAACGAAAGGCTGTTCATTGTCTATATCAAGTCCAATAATTAAGATGTACTGAGTAATCAATGCTCTTACCTGACGTTATCCGCTGGTTTGCCGGTGTCCTGGTCTATCGCCTGGTATCGTCCAATCACATTATTAAGGATGGAGGTGGTGCCTCCCTCTGAGATAGGGATGGCCTTGACTTTGGGGTCAAAGCTGGGTCCTTCAGGCTCATTCTTGACATTGATTTTCAGTGGATAAACATTAAAACCTCCGGTTGCCCCAGATGCACCGGTTGCCCCAAATGCGCCACCTGTCCCAGTTGCGCCACCTGTCCCAGTTGCGCCACTTGCCCCAGTTGCGCCACTTGCCCCGGACGCAGCTCCAGCCCCAGCTCCAGTCCCAGCTCCAGCCCCAGCTCCTCCCCCAGCTCCTCCAAATCCAATCCCAACATTTGTTCCTCCAGCTCCGCCAATCAAAGGTGCTTTATTCTTTACAGCCAGAGAAAGATCCAAGTCTTGTATATCTTCGTAATTTAGAGGCTGGGGGAATTAAAACCACAAAATTAGAAAAAAGTACAGTTGTTCTTTGAGTATTTTAATGTAACCACTTATTTGCTTTCAAAACAGTTTGGTTTCATCCCTAGTTTTCAAATGCATGTATTCTTCTGCCTACTGTTTTTTGCAGTCACATCTTTAGATCACTCTTTTCAGGAAAGAAAAAAAAGAAGGCTACCCTATCTCAACCAATCATCTCTCAGCCTAAATAATCAATTGGGGACTCACGGTATTTAAAACACATGTTTATACTGTGAGATAAATACAACATAATGTGGTCTCTGCTTACACTAGATTATGGTCTCTCAATGTCCTTTATACAGCATATCTAGAGTTCCACAGGGCTCAACTCTAGGGCCTCCTGTTTTCTCTCAAAATATTATCCATTAATATTATGCTATTATTAGGCTTTATCTATTGTATGCTTATAATTTATTTGTATTAACCACACACAATTATACCTTGGATCTAGCTCAATGAAAATAGTTCTTTCGTGCATGTCTTTACAAAATTTAAATCATTATTCACTACCTTCACAAGCATTAGGACTCCTTCGTTTGTCTTAGGATCAGTAATTATTTCAAAGTATCCCGCCTCGTTGCCAGTGACGATATCAAAATCTGCCTCCCAGTTTGGAGTGTTCACCAAGTCCAAGTCTTCTGCTTTCAGTCTCATGACTTCCACCCCTTTCTGGTTCTCCATGATGCTTGCTTCATACTGCAATAAGGAATTTACAAAATGTTATTACAAATAGATGACCGCAGATGTATTTAGATTAGGTCAAATTACTTAGCGAACAATGACTTGTAAAGTCCCGGGTAAACCAATGAAACAGGACATTATTTTTAGTTCAAGAAACATGTGATAATTGTTCATTACCACACAGCAAGATAACGTCTCATTTCAAGTCCAACATTTTCAGTTTTTTGGTTTATAGTGAAAATGTGTTGTTTCACTGCCAAATCCTTTCATACCTTTCAAGTCAAATTGTGACATATTTCTTTTAATTGTATTATAGTTTTAGCTGTATAGTCCTTACCCTCTTTTCTGTCAGAGTGGGGGGATTATCGTTCACGTCTCCGATGTTGATGGTCACTGTCCCTGTGCCACTGTTTCCTGATGGAGCGCCGTTCAGATCCTGCCCTTTCACCACCACTACATATTTACTGCTTTTCTGAAAAAAACAAGACATGGATTTTAAAACGTTGAGATATTTTAAGTTTTAACAAGACTTAACTCAACACATAATTGTAATGTGTACATTAAATGTGAGCTGATCATTTGAACCCACTATAAAAGTCTCAAAACCTGTATTTGTAGATGATTGTTTTTTGATTGATGATTCAAAATTCACAATTGATTATTTCCAGAAGTGTTTGACTAATTTTTAATTAATTTACTTGTAATCTACAATTATTCAAACAAGCATGACTCACTTGAGGAAAAAATTGCAAACGTATGAATTCAAGCTAAAGTTTCATTAACGTCTTCAAACTGTTTAAATATTCTAGGTCACACAAGCTAATAGTCCATTCTAGTAAAAAAATATAACCGTAACTATTATATAATCGTAGTGTTGTCGCAGAGCTTCCTGGTCTGAGCAGACATGTTTTCTGAGGGGTGTTGATGTAATACTCCATGTGAACAGAAGGAAGCAGCATTTGATTAAATTACCTACTACTACGAATCCAACCATAGACCTCTTAATGTTACTAGAGATAACCTGATCATGGTAATCTATGGTAGCATACATCCAGTTCCAGCAGTTTTTTAAAATGCTCCTTTTTTATTAACTAAATATTATGAATATTTCTGTTCATTAACACGTGTAATCAGTTTCAGAATGTGAAAATGTATCTTCTGTAGAAATACAGTGAAAGAAGTATCAAGGGTCAACAATGCATTGTAATACACTAGCATAGCAGCTTTGTACAGTCTCACATGTATTCATAATTATACATGTATCTGAGTTCAAAATGTTATCTGATCCATGTTGTTGCATTGTTCCGAACATTGTAAGGAAAGTTGAATCCAATCTCATACAATTCATCCACCTGCCCTATCCCCCCATCCCTCCCATCCGCCTGCCCTTTACCCTCCATCCCTTTCAAAAGAAATGTTGACAAAATAATATTCCAAATTTTAAAAATGACCAGCTGCGACTACTGAAATGTGATTTCAAAGGAAGAAATTTTACCTGAGAAATTACCAAAACTAGTTCATGGTCAATGCTTTTGTTTTAAAAGGCATGCAACTGAGCGTGATCAGGACTTAGACCGAAGCAGCCGAGTTACATGTTTGTGCAAGAAGTTCCTCATATTTGCTGGATGATCTAAAAACAAATCTAGTGATATTGGAATGTAACTTTAGTTATCATTTTGCTAAATCATTTGTGGCTGAATTCTATACTGTCTGTATTGTAATCCACAGTTGACTTCAAAGTGCTTGGGGGTTGTATGCAGATGCCAGGAGGAAGCAGGTTTTGAGGATGCTAATGTCTCAAGTGTCTTTTGTTGTGTTGGTTTCTTCCTTTCCCATCTGCATACGAAGGTGTGTCTTGCTCTACCAAAAGGGGCTTGCCATCTGTGAATCTTCAGACTTGTCCTGAGAGAGGCTGGGGTCTGTGCCTTGCCTCTGTCAAGACATTCTCCTTGTACAATGTAACAAGTAAAAAATTAACTTTGTCTCTTTGTTGTGTGAGATTTCATCAGGTTCAACTGTAGTTGAAACAGCATTATCATCTAGGTATGTTTTTGAGAAGGAACAACTGTGCAACATGGGTAAAAGTTGCTTGATATGTGTTATTTACACGTATAGGGAGCTGGACTTTATATTAAACAATGACACTTTATTAAAAATATATATATATACCTAGAATATAGTTACAGTTATAAAGGCTCACTAAATGAAAAATAAATAATAAAAAACATGATGTCAGTGTCAGAAATGTACCTCTCTGTCAAGGTTGGGCCTCTTCACATACAGCTCCCCCGTTGGTGTGATGGCGAACATGTCGTCGGGAGGGTCCTGGCTCACAATACTGTACAAAATCTTAGCGTTTATGCCCTCGTCTGCGTCAGTGGCGCTAATTTTCATAATTGGTGTGTCTGTGAAATAAGAGATAAAGGTGTAAGTACATAAGGGCATTTCCCTAAAGCGTAGTCACTCCTAGAAATGTTCTGAATTTCTGGTTTGGACAGTAGATTTGAAGAAAGCGAATGCATAACCGTAAACTTGAGCCACACCTCGTCTAATCTGCTCAATAGAGAGTCATGTTTAAACTGTTTTTTGTATGAGTCTTGTCTTGTTATGTTCTGTCTCTTCACCCGGCCACCTGACCACCGCTTCAATATTAAGCCAAAAGAGGAATCCCTGAAACTTGTGATAATTCAAGATTCAAGAATATATTTGTCATTTGCACTAAAACCACATTGGAAAAACTGTGCAATACTACCCCAGTGTGCACCAGTTACTCTACCACAGGTGCTATGCCATCACACACATTCATATGCTACAGTAGAATTATTACGTCTACCTATTTGGTCTATAGGTCTGTTCTGTGTTGTTATGCGTGTCTTTAAACGCAGGGAATGCAAATAATGTTCAATTGCACTGACTTGGAGCAGTGAGTTCGTCCACGGCCCCAGGCTTCATGATCTCAAACACTGGAGCATTGTCATTCTTGTCCAATATTTTGAATTGCAGCGGTATCTTCTGTTCTGCTAAGTTCCCGTCCATGTATTTAGCAACTCCGGTGATCTAAAAACAGCAGCACAAACACAATAATATTGAAATTATTCAACAACAATTTTAAGGTTAAGAACGAAAGCCTTGACAATAGTACAAGCCAGTTTTTTGTTATTGCAGCTAAATAAATTGCTTCTGACATGACTGGTAGAAATTATAACAAAATAAGAAAGGTTTCACTTACAAAAAGTTATATGTCAAAATATGTCAAAAATTTGCCAATCGTACACTCAAATAATCTTGTTTTAAAAATATTCAAGAAATGTCTTTGTTGGAATGAGAAAATGAAGCAACAGTTGTAAATAAAATGGCTTTGTCTCATTGGCAAATCTCGTTTTAAGACAGTTAGAATGTTCTAAAATTAAGATAAAAACCACTTGATCCAAGCAATTTTTACCTCATATTTTATCATTTTTTTCTAGTATGGGATTATTTCTGTGTTGCACCAAGACAAAAAGCTAAACTAATGTAACATTGTGAAACATCAAATGTAACTCTTTCCTCAAACTTAAGCCATGGTTCCTACATTGTATAAGCTGTGCTGTTCCCGGTCGAGCGGCCGCGTCACTCGGATGTCACCCGTTTTGGGGTTGACCACAAACAAGTTAAACGGAATCTTGGATGCGCCGTTGCCTTCCAACGAGTACAGGATGTTCCCCGAGCCATCAGCCGAATCTGAAAAAATCTACAGAATCGCAAAGATCACGTCAGTTCATGTTATGGATTAAGGTGTAGTCTATAGCAGTGCTCCCCAACCTTTTTGAGCCGTGGCACAATCACATGGCACACAACATGCAAACATGAAATTCTGCAGCCATGATTAACAATAGAAAGTCATTCTCTTCAAAAAAAAGTATTTCTAATCTTCTTCATTATTTTTGTTTCAGATTATTTTGACAATTAGGTGATATTGGATCATTTTCAAAGGCACACCAAGCAGCATCTTAAGGCACTCTTACGTCCCACAACATTTTTTTCTATGTTGTGGGGTGTTAATGACTTTTGCTCTAAAGTAAGGTAAGCTGTAGGGAAATCTAGAGAAATGTAAAGCAATGTTACTGCTGCTTTGAATGTTTCGATGTTTCTCCATGACCTTGTTTTAATGACTTGACTCAGAAATTAGCAATTTGGTTATGGACCAAATTTTGGGCTGTTTGAGTTTTCAGCAGTGTGGTAGAGTTTTAAGGTCGTTTTTTTGTTTTTAATTTTAATGTACAATTCAGTCTCAAGTCTTTCCTCTCGGGACAGATCCAGACTTATTTTGAAATATCAATGTTCATGAGATTTATCGCTCGATGATAAGTTAAACTACAATTAAATGGCCAAACTACAGTGAAATTTGCTAATGTCATTCTTTATGATTTATAGGCCAGTACAATGAGTCGTCAAGAGTTGTTGTTTTGTTTTTCAAGATGCAATGAAAAAAACGCAAGGATTGTTCTACATAATTTACCTTTGCCACAATCTCATCTCTGTAATCTTTATTTTCTTCCAGTTGTTTTGGGGGAGGGATCCATTCTCGCTTGTGTCGAACAAGAGCAGCAGCCGTCTGAAAAAACCATAAACATGCTTTAAATAAGTGCTCTTCAACCTGATGTCAGGTTTACAAAGGCTTTGGTAAGTTCTAACAATCCACCGACATAACCCATATGACAGCTATTATGATCACCTCAAATACACAACTAAACAATACGATTCATAATGTTACTGTTAGAAAAGCAAACTGTCGCCAATCGGAATGATGATGGCCCTTTTTATTCTGTAAATGTAGATCCAAATGAAATACAGCTGGAGTTCCTTGTTTGTTCAATGTCATAGACCAGGGATGTCAAAGTGAAAAACCTCAGAGGGCCAAAAAAAACAAATTTGCTACAAGCCGAGGGCAGGACTTGTTCAATGTTTGTTCATCATATTAAAAATGAGCCTCCTCTACAGTCTCCCTTCCACTCATCTCCAAAAACTACAATAGAACTCTGCCGCCCGCCTGCTCACCCACATCCGCTCCGGAGGCCACATCACCCCCTTCCACAAACAACTCCACTGGCGCATAAAATACAAGGTCCTCCTCCTCACCTACAAGTCCCTCCATAACCTGGCCCCCTCTTACCTCACTGACCTCCTCCATAATCATTGTTATTATTAATATCAAAATGATTGTATGTAAGCTATTGAACCAAACTCTAACACAGTGTACCGTATTTTAATGATTAAATAAATATTCCAATGCATTTTATGGCTCTGTCAGTGATTTCAATTTCAAGAAAAAAAATTTCAACAGACTCACCGACAAAAATAGACTCTCTTCCAAGAGAAAACACAAGTCCTGAACATTAAAGGTATATGGATCATATACTGTATGGGTGGATCATCAAGACTATTGGTCATCCTAATTTTCAATCATTCTGGTGATACGTCCTCGTCAAAGAAGATCAGAGAGTTTCGTTCAAAAAGTGGAGAGGGCAGTTCTTTTCTAAAATTTGGGAAAATTCTCCTACATAATTAATAATCCAATATTTTTGTATGGCTCTATGCGGACAGTTTCTAATACTGATCTAATATCATCTGGCCCCCAGGCCTTGACTTTGACAGCCATGTCACAGTCTGTCGACAGCTAGTCCCGGTTCTTTGTGATCTTGGCAAAAATGGAAGAGCAGCGAATGGCTCTGGAGATTGCTGAGAAGATGTGGAAGACAAGAAAGAATCAAATGAAAAACTAGAGTGGCCCTGTGGAAAACACACAGAGACGGGACTTCTGGCAAAATCATCCCAAAAAACCTAGAAATCATTTTCAAATAATTTAAACATTGTGGCACAAGCTTAAAATCTGTCTCCGTCTTTACATCCTTAGTATTCACTGTAATCAGATGATTTAGTTTGTCTAAAGTGAGAGACAATTGAAAAATACTCAATATTAAGACAATTAAGCATTAAATGACCTCTTTATATCATTAAGATGTGTTTCTACAACACATCTGTACTGGTTTTTTACCAAAAGTGATCAAGCGTATGAAAATCTAGATAGATCAGATAATACGATTATTACAATAATTTTGAGTCTCACTTTTTTGTATTTTATTGATCCGCTTTAGAAATATTGTGTGTACATATTTGTATGCTTGGATTATTTGGGCAGCTTGGGGGCCACGACCGAATTGGGATTTAAGACTGAAAATCAACCAATCTACAGGTGAAACTCAAAAACTTAGAATCTTGCTTAAGAGTTCATTTTCTTCTGTAATTCAACTTATAGACTAATTCTATACAAAGTAAAATACGTATGTTAAAATGTTGATAATTGGCACGCAGCTTGTAAAAACGTCATCCTCAAAATTATATCAAATAAAGGCTTGAAATATTGTACTTTGTCTGTAATGAGACAGACAATGTGTAAATCACATTTTGGATTCACATTTCCAGTTTAATTACAGAAATATGTGTCAACAATATTGTAATTTTCCAAGTTTCAGCTGTACAGTCTATTCTGAACCTGTTTGAGTGGATACTATCTCTAGTGCTAATGTACCAACACTTACAAGAAAGTTTTTGTACATGTGTTTTTTTTTCTCAGTATTTCAGTGTACATGTTGCTTTGAGCTCCATGACGACTCAGGACACGCCACACCCTGCCCTTCCTGGCATTAGCTTTGTGCGGGCACGTCTCAAAAATTGCAATAGACAACAAGGGATTCAGCAAACACCCATCAATGACTCATCAAGGCAAACCGTGAACTGATGAAACACGTAATTTGTCTGACACACAAAACACATCACCGCCTGAGTAAGAAAACACACAACAAATTGATACATAGAGGAGACATAACGGAGAATAAACATAACATCTCAAAAACAAGCAATGCAATCATCACAGTCAAATATAACCAGATATTTTTTACAGAATAATTTTGTAGCTTTACGTCAATAAACTAGTAACATAGAGAGTTAAAAAAGGCTTACAGAGACGAGAAGTAAGGTGAGAATGGGTAGCGAAACCGGAGCCATGTCTGCTATCCGGTGTATAGTCCAGGTGCTCTGTGGACTGTGGGTGTGTGTCGCTGCAGAGGTGGGTGGCTATTTAAGGAGGAGTGCCACACAAACACACACCCTCCCCCTATTGTGGATGGGATCTGTCATCAGCATCGACATGATTAGGATTCAGGGTAAATGGGAAAGTGTCATAATTATTGGAGGTAAATAGTACTCTATCTCTCTATCTGGAATTACACAAGAAGTCTTCATTCAATCAAATCAAATTTTATTTATAAAGCGCTTTTCATACAAAAAGTGTAACACAAAGTGCTTTACAGTTTAGTTAAAAACAATCCAACATGCCCAGCCCTAAACCCTCCTCCCCACAGACCCCCCAAAACCACATTTATAATTATATATACAATACACACACACACACACACACACACACACACACACACACACACACACACACACACACACACACACACACACACACACATATACACAAGTATAAAGTCATATCAGGTAAAATAGGTAAAACAATAAAAAGAAATGGGGCTGGGAGCAGATGTAACCGGCTGAAGAAGCGTCATCCAAGGAGCCATCTGCACCAGGAGCAGAGAGCCGGCTGCAGCCACAGGGAACGACACAGGACCCAGAGGAGAGAGGGGCCCCAGACCCCACCAGGCCCAGGGCTCAGACCCCATAGGACCCAGAGGAGAGAGGAGGCCCCAGACCCCCACCGGATCCAAGAGCCAGACCCCCGAAGCCACAGCAGACCCCAGCCCTCAGTGCAGAGGGCTCCTCCAGAGGAAACACTGGGGACACTAAAACAATACAATAATACAATAGAAAGTAGAACAATAAAATGTGAAAATAAAAACAAAAATGGCAGCTGCCTAATATTGATAATAACAATAGTAAATGGGTAGATACAATAAATAATTAAAAATAGTAAATAATAAAATTAAATAAAAATAGAATCCGTCTAAAAACATAAATAGATGTACTAAAAAGCAATAATAGATAATAAATACTAATCAAAAGCTGCTCTAAAAAGGTGCGTCTTGAGCCTACTCTTAAAAATATGAACGTTCTCTGCGGCCCTGTCATTATATCAATTGACAAGTTGGAAAAGATGTGAAACGGAATGACCGATCACTGCTTATCTTTATGGAATTTTTTCATTTGCTCAATTTGTTCCATTGTATTTGTTTCCAAAAGTTTGCCCTATAGCATCAGATATGTTTTCATTTAATTCGTTATGAAAAAAAATAGTGCATTGGTTATGCACAGCGCTTTTTAGGCACTCAAAGACGCTTCATAAGGCATTAGTAAATTGTAGGGATCAGTGAAAATAGTATAAATTGAATAGTAAACATATAAATTCTGAGTCTCTTTTATAAGACTCTTTTTTTCTACATTCCATTTTCCCACGGATCCTTGAAGAGCACCTGCTCACAATATGAACATTTAAGTGACATCAGGAAATAAAAAATTAAACACAACAAATAACTTATAAAAACAAAATCCTGATTTGTTTTGACTTTGAGAAATGTTAGTCAACAGTGGAGGTTGAAAGTTAATTTCACGTAATTTGGGGGACCATGGTTAGAGAACCAACAAACAGTCCATTACTCTCATTCATACATGCAGCACATGGAAGAGAAAATGTACACTTCTAAAACAAAGGATTTGAATACCAGCAAAGATCAGTCTTTCAACTGTCATCGCATAGAAACACTGTATCTTCTTATGTACATTTCTCCATTGTGAGATCAGTTAAGTTATTGATCTCATCTTATCTTCATATTTATATATTGCTGTCGTTGTGTGTCCCCCCCACCCCCGACCCAGAAATGGATTAAGGGGAGAAGATGGATGGATGGATGTAAATAGAATGTAAATCATATTTCATGTGATAACTGTGCCACACCTGAGGCTGTGGGTGAGTTCATGCGTCATTCCTGATCACTTGCACTGTTTATTCACAACACTATAATATACAAAAGATTTAGTCATACACAACCCGCCAGACTGAAAACGTGAGAGTGACTGTTGAAACAAGGTCAGAAACAAAGTTCTTATCTCGTCTCAGATCAGTTCAAAGGAAACTAGTGAAACAACTGAAGGCTGTTTATAAAAACAAGTTTTACAAAAGGAAACATTTCCAAATGAAGACATCAGTTGCAGATACATACATCCATCCATTTTCTTCCCTCACTGATCCTCGTGCACCAGTGAGTCCACAGGAGCTGAGATCTTTCAGCAGGGGCTTCAGGCAAAGTGGGGTTTAGTATCTTTCCCAAGGACACAACAACAACAAACATCAGTGGGAGTCGTGAAGTAGGTCTCATGGTGGGCTCGATCCCACAACCTTCAGGCCCAAAGGCCAAAGCTCTACCAACTGAGCCACTGTTACCCCCAGTTGCAGACACAGATACAGTATCTCCTTTTTGGTAATGTGTCCAAACATATCCCTCTTGTTTTATTATTGGCAGTTAATTTGAAAGGATTACTCAAGAATGAGTGACTTCCAAAACTGTTTTTGTTGTTTTTGAAAATAGTTACCTGTTTAATTCCACCAACGGCTCTGTAAAGACTTGTTCAGGATTCCAGTGGAAATATAAGACTTTTAATTTTCAATGATACAATGTGTCTTCATCATGATTTTTCCAATGAATTGATACATTTGAAAGTGGGACTTTCAAATGAATCCAGTGAATAATATAATTCACTGGTATTTCACTCTTGTATTACTCCTGTAGACATGGAAATAAACACAAACCGTGACATGTTTTCCGTCAGAGGCCTGAGGCTGTGTCGCGCATTAACTACTTGTTCTTTTCAGTTTTGATTGAAAGCCAGCGTTACGCCTTTTTGAAGTATTTCAGTGTACGAACAGTGGATCCAAGTCCTGATGGGTGGTGTTTCTTATACTACATATGTCAAGGGATGATTCTTCTGTAAAAATATACAGTAGGCCTATGCTTTATTTAGTTATGTTCGAATTTCTCAACTTTCTGCTACTCTTATTGTTTCCTGAGACGTCACAGACAATTACATAGATGAACGAAACAAGCTCTTCCATCATTTTCGTCTACCCAGTCTTCCACCTAATCCCGGAAAGACTGGGTGTGTGCTTTGTTGGCGTTGGTTTGGTAGGATGCCAGCAAAGGGTGGACAGAGCTGGTTGAAATTCATTTGCAGCTGTCGTTTACCTTTGGGGTACATCATCGTATGTTTTCTTCATCAGTTTACTTCTTTCAAAACGAACAAAATATAAGTATGTTGTTATAATATTCAATGTCACTCAAATGACAGGACAGTGGGAAAAAAAAAGAGCCCTCAAACATCTTGTTCTATATTGGCGGCACGGTAGCCTCCAGGCCTCTCTGTGTGGATTTTGCATGTTCTCCCTGTGTCACCGTAAGTTTTCTCTGGGTGCTCCGGTTTCCCGTACCACTAAAAACATGTACAATCTGGCATGCGCCTCTTGTACGTCGACCCTGCTTCCGTGTGTGGAGTAAGAGACAAATGGCCACAAAAATTGTAAAGTGCTTTGTGACTCTGGTCTGTGAAAGGCGCTTTAAAAACAGAGAGGACTTACTTACTACATATATGTTTTACTTTTTGTATTGTCTGCACATAATACTATATACCGCGGCTTCTGTTGATGTCAATGACGGAGGAAGTTTGCCGCAATCCTCTCTGCACACATTTGGATATAATGAAATACCATTACCACCGAAATACTAATGAATTACCTGGACAATGGGTGTGGAGGGATTAGCATTAAATTCTATTGATATTAAGTTTTCTCTCTTTGTGTGTGATGGATGAACTATTTTTGTGTTATGGGGTTGTGTGAGTGTGTGTGTATATTTATGGTGCAAAGGGTAGACCCATCAGAGGGAGGCGAGGGGAAAAAAATACTCTGTTCTCTATTTTGTACCAGTTGTCAATTCTGTATGCAGCGCAACACAATAAATATTAGATCTTTTTGTTATTTTTTCCTTCATCGTCACAGAGCTTCACAGTTTAGCTTTACATAAACTAGATGAGCATAAGCAACTGTAATTGGGAATTTTGAATAATGTGTATTTTATTTCACGAACACCATAACAAATATAATATGTGCCTGTTGTGGAAAGCTCAGTTTATTCAAGGCTTTAAAAAAGGCTTGAATGCCTTTACAATGCATCAGTGCTTCTCCTTGGTGTGTCATTTGAGTAGTGTAGAAACATGGCTAACACATGAGCCGCAAGTTCTCTGTTGCGGAGCCAATCCCAGCTCGGGGCGTGGAGTTCTCAGAGAGATTTAAAACAACACAGAGCATGTTCAAACGCGGCAACCTGCTCAACCGGTCATGAGCCCATCCTGGCAGACACATCGACTGTCATGCAGACTGATAATCTCAACTTTAATTTCATATATTTTATTAGTAAAAAACAACTTTACAAATACATTATGTCCATAATAATAGAAATATATTCATACAAAAAACATATAAAAAACATTCTTTGTCTGTGCAGCGTAAAGTTACAAAGTCAGTGCAAAACGATAAGCAGATCCGCTCATATAAAGCCCCCGGTTACATTAGCGCTGTTCACTCGAGTCCTTTGCTCCTCACAGATTTGTGAGTACGACCTCTCTGCTCTCCTGCACCAGCACCCTCCTGGAACTAGAGGGCGTACTGGAATTTCCTGTCAAGTTCTGTGTGCTGCTGGAGCTGCTCTTGTTGTGGGCTCTTGGAGATTCAGTCTGTCCTCTTGTCTTGACCCCGCTATTTTGGTCCAGTGTAGTGTTAGACCCCATCACCAGCACCCTCTGAGAGCCCGACAGAGCCCCACTAAGGGACCCAGGTTGCGGCCCCTGAGCCAGCAGCACTGTCTGAGAGCCGGAGACTCCAGGATGCGCCAGACCCTGGCCGCTGTTCAGCACCTGTTTGGAGCCAGAGGGGCCCTTCCCCTCCACCAGCACCATGGTCTGGGAGCCCGACATAGTGGGCCCTCCATGTGATTTCTCCACTAGCACCATTCCCTGAGGCTGCCCCACAACCTGTCCCTGCATCACCAGGCCTTGTGTGGAGCCACTCTGTTGGGCATTCACTAGCATCACATTCTGCATGTTGGGCCCCGGGGCCTCTCTGAGCATTACTGTGTTCTGCACCGGAGGCTGGACCATGTAGTGCATGGGCTGTACAACCGGAGCTGTGGTGTAGTAGAGCTGCGGCTGTTGCTGGAGAAACAGCACTTGGCCCTGAGGGGCCAGGCCCCTGGGGGCCTCCCTATTCATCTCTGTGACTGACAGGGTCTGAGTGCGTTCAGAGCTCTGTCGCACATCACTGCTGCTGATGACGTCTGCTTTAGGAGGGGGCAGTGGTGTGGGGATGAGCTCTGGTAAGGGTCCCGGGGCCATCACCTTGGATACTGTTGTGTGAGAGCTGATGGAGGTGCTGGGAGGAGGGGGTCCCCTCACTTCGACCTTGGTCCGGCCCCCACAGATCTCAGCCAGAGTCTTAAACTTGGGGTCCAGGTCCTCAAGGAATCCTAGGTCGTTGTCCAGAGCCAGAGAGCTGCAGCAGCCCACAGAGCCCGCAATGGAGCCCTGGCCCTCGTATTTGTACTCCAGGAGTTGGTCCTTCCCAGTCTGGGCCTCGGAGCTCTGCACCTTCTGTTGACACACACACTCAGGTTCAGGTCTTTGATTGTTACAAAAGTTCATTCTCAGTGAAGTGACACCAACCTGGTTGTAGTACTGTCCCAGGAAGTGGTGAGGCAGAGCCATGCCGTCATATATCCCTGTGTCCCTCTCTCTGCTCATGTACTCCGACTGAAAACCACTGCCTCCCATCTGACTCATGCCCCTCCAGGTACCATCCATCTGACCCGCTCCGTAGCCCATCCCCCCATCCATCTGACCCTGATAATATCCATTGACACCCTCTTCCAACATTCCTGAGATCTGCTGGAACCCCATATTGGACATTTGGTTTTGCTGGAACCCCATTTGGTTTTGCTGGAACTCCATAGAGGATATGTGAGACATGTCGTGCATATTTCCATCCATTTGAGTTGTTGGCATGATCAGCTCTGGAACATCCTGTGATAAATAATAACAATATTAAACCATGTCCATGGTTTTATTGAATTTCACAACATTTATTTGACTCTTACCTTGTCCTCTCCTTGGCCTTCAGTGTGGTAGCTCATAAGACGAGATTTGGTATCATATGGCATATTTGCAAACTCTAACGGCATTCCCCAGGCTCCTCCACAGTAGCACAAAAGGGCCACAAGAAGCAGCACTGCACAACAAAAAACAGTTTTCTGAATATATTTTATAGCTATGAATCATATGCTCTAATCTATGCAGTATGTTTAAATGTTTCCTACATTGTGCAGATAGGGCACATTAATGAAGTAATCCATATATTTATATATTTTTTAATTCAAATACATTTTTCTGAAACAAAAATATAATAAAATAATACTAATGATTCTTTTTTTAAAACTCACGTAGAAGTAACAGCAGTCCCAGGAACAGCAGGCCAATGCCCGCAGGCCCGAATTCCATTTTTTTCTCTGGTTTCCCGTTCCCTCCTAGTCTGCCACACTGCACTCCATTCTCACAGGTACAAACGGTCACCTGGACTCTCTGTGGCTCGGGACATGACTCCCCCTGCTGGTCAGTGATGATAAGCTCCACCTCATACACACCAGGCCAGAGGGACTCTTCTTCTGTCCTAAGAATCCGGCCTGTGTCTGTGAAGCGGAGAAACAAAACCATCAGATAAGGTGTGACTGTAGCTCTTTCTAGTTGACCTGAAATGTGACACTCTCAAAGGACTGCAAATGTACAGCTTTGGGTCACAACCCAGCATGAAGTGTTCTCACAAACCCACTGATGGAAGGGCAGGTCTGATTATAAACGGATTAACTGCATTTCGTCAAGATTATTGGAAATGTTATGTTAGTGTTCTGGAGTGCATCTTCAGAGCTCATTAGAATAATAATAACTTATTGAAAAGACAGATTACCATTCTGGACCCAAAACTATAGAACTTTTACCAGTGTGTGTGTGTCTGGTTGTGTGAATTAATGTTTTCTCCTGTGAAATAAATCTATTGTTTTCAAATGAATAATCAGTAATTGTGGTCATTAGCTCTTGTGTATGATCATGTATTCAAAAAGTAAAATAAATAAAGTTTTATTGTAAATATTCAAGATGGGAAGCAAAATATTATTTAAGGTGCCTGTTTTTTTTTTCTTCTATGTAACACATCTATAGGTAATGCACAACAAAGATAGAATCGAAGCCAAAAACAAACTCATTCAGAAGTGAATATGTAAATGCTTTGATATTGCAAGAAGGTGGTGGAATGTGCTCACCGTTCAGATGCTGCACCTGCCACTTGCCCTGCGTGTTCTCTGGGACGATGGTGAAGGTGAAAGGCGGTCCGTTCGGGAAAGCGTCCTTATCCTCAGCGTTGACCAGCACCGCGTTGACCAGGGCCCCGTTTTTTGTCAAGCATAGTGTCTGTTCTTGGAGGGTCAGAGTCGGGCAGTGGTCGTTGAAGTCCTTCACCTGGATTGCTATTGTCCCTGTGGCCGTTTTAGATGGAATGTCTGTTTGTAAGAAGAAAACATGTTACATATACAACATTATTTTTAAACAGCATAAGTATTGGCTATGGAAATAGCTATTATGTTTATGTGGAAAATTATACATTTATACTGATTTAATTTGTCCTACAAAACTTCCATTGGTTTGTGGATTACAGAGTGCACTCTGTATTCCAGTCATTTTTGCCCTTTGCATAATTGCCAAAGGTTCAATAGCCCAAAATTGGTCTCAGTGGGTACCCCTGCCTTGCAACACATTTGAGAGGGAAAAAAAAAAATATTCTTAAAAATATCATATTATTATTATTTGTTCTCATGCATGTTTGAGGGGCTGCATACATAACTATTGATCCAAGAGCAAAACATGGGGCCAAGTCCACTTTTTACAATAAAAAAGTTTCAATAAACTCTACAAAACCTTTTATGGATGAAGGGGAATTACTACTCCAGGCTCAAGATCGCTCTGGTAATAAACCACGAAACACATAGCAAAGATGACTTGCTATTTGCCTCCCCATGACTAATCAGGAAATAATCTGTCCATTTGAAGTACCTTCAGAGATGCAGAGGACTTCAGCGTAGTACGTGCCGTTGACCAGTAGGGGGGACTCTCTGTCAGGAAGTTTGTTCAGTTTAATCTCAGATGTGTTCGGATCAATAATCAGCCAGTTCCCAGGGTCTTTGCTTTTCATGTATCTGTAAAAAAGCCATGTAATATTAAGACTGTAATCCTGTTACCTGTTATGTTATAGTCAGTTTGCAAACATACTTGACATTCTTCGCTAGTTCTTTGGTGTCCTGGTCAATAGCCGGGTATCGGCCAATGATGTCATTGACTTTGATGGTGCCGCCTTCCTCTGAGATGGGGATAGCTTTGACTTTGGGATCAAACTGTGGCCCCTCAGGCTCATTTTCCACATTTATTTTCACTGAATACATGTCATATCCTGAATAACCACTGACCGCACTAGCTCCTGTAGCACCAGAGGCTCCAGTTGCACTGGCAGCCCCATCTGTTTCAACTGTTCCTGAAGAACTGCTTCCTCCACTGACTCCAATGTTAGTGAATCCGTCGACGCCATCAACCAAGGGAACTTTGTTTTTTATAATCAGACCAAGGTTCAGTTTCTTAACATCTTCATAGTCAACAGCCTGCAGGAGTCAAAACAAATGAAAAAATTGTTTCATTTGGAATTTCTGTGGGTATTTCAGCAAATCTGCAGAATGCCAACCTCAGAAAAGTAAAAAGATGGAACTGATTATAATTTTGAGTTAAACATTTCATTATAAAGTATGAGGAGAGAATTTAGAAATGTTTGGTGTGGTATCAAAATTAGTATAGATGATTGAGTATTGTTTCTAATATCAAAAATAAATTCAGATTTTTGTATCATGACAACACCCATTTGTGGATGAAACACTACCAAACAATTGACCGTGAATGTGTCCACTTGTTTACTTTTTTAAACGGATCTGTAAAGCACCCATCCTCCTTGTACCTTGTCCAGCATTAGAATTCCCTCCTTGGTCACGGGGTCTGTTTTGATGCTGAAGTATCCTGCCTCATTCCCTCTCGCGATCACGTACACCGGCTCCCAGTTATCACTATTCTCCAAGTCACGGTCCTGTGCTTTAAATCTCATCACCTCCTCTCCAAAAGTGTTTTCCTTAATATTGGCCTCAAGCTGAGAAGAAGAAATATATGCAATGATGAAATGTATACTAGAACAAAACTGAATGATATCCTGAAGTTTTTGTACCTTAGTTTTCTCCAGGGTGGGAGCATTATCGTTTACGTCTAGGATGTTAATAACAACTGTGGTTATTGCGCTGTTGCCCTTTGGATCACCATTCAGATCTGCAGCTCTTACTCTCAAGACGTAACGATCCACCGTCTGAAAGCATCCATGGATATTTGAGAAAACATTCAAAAGAAAGATGAGTTATGAGAAATTGGATTGATTAGTGAGACAGACTTAAGCTAACCCCATTCTTTACCTCTCTGTCAAGGCTGTCCCTCTTCACGTAGACCGTCCCATTTGGTTTTATGTAGAATAAATCGCCCGGTGGCTCCTGCCTCTCTAGGGTGTAGGCAATCTGAGAATTTGGGTTTCCTGGTTCATCAAGATCAATGGCCGTCACATTCATTACCGCTGTGCCTGCAAAAACAAGACAATAAACACACATTCCTTTCCTGCACTTTGACTTCTTAATCCATCTCAATAAAATGTACTGATTTTTTTCAAAATCATAACAAAAATGCTCCAACAGAAAATCAAACTTGACACAAACTAGCTCTGCGTACAAAAATCCTTCCTCCTCCATCACTCGTCCTTCAAATCTTGTGTGTTATTACTTACTGTGTAAATAAAATATACTTATAAAAGCATTTAGAAATTTGAATTGTTGAATAGTGTGAAATCTCATCTCTTTATCTCAATCCCTATTTTCCCCACCATTACTGAAACATGCCCAAACAAATCTATGATGGCGGAAAATGAGCTTGTCTCTTTGATCTAATGATTGGTGCTGCATATTCTTGCTACATATCAGTCAAAGCAAAGTATCTCTTCCTTACGTCCTCAAAACACTGCACTTTCTACTACTGCTTTGTACTTGCAGCAGAAGTAATAACATTGACTCGACTCAGGAATCAAAAGCGGACTTCAAATATCTTAATAATGCACATATTAATGTTTACATGTTTTAATCCCTCACCAGCCGGACTGCGCTCAAACACCTCCCCAGGTGGAATGACTTTTGGAAAAATGGGGGCATTGTCGTTCTCATCTATAACTTTAATCCTAATGTCGATCTTGGTCTCTGCGTGACTCCCATCCATATAAGTAGCAATCCCAGAGAGCTGAAAAACAAAGTAAACAAAAGTTACTTCACGGTATACTTGTGGGTATAACCATTTATTACAGCTGTTTGGATGTCTTACGTTGTAGGTGTCGATCTTCTCTCTGTCCAAGATTCTGGTCACTCTGATGAAGCCAGTTCTTGGGTCCACAATGAAAACGTTAAACGGCGCCTCACTTGCTCCAATTCCTTCGAGAGCATAGTTGATGTTGATGTGTTCCTCATAATCTGAGCGGATCTGAAAATGGAAAAAAAAAAAAATTGCAGGATGTTGAATGAAGACAAATGGTATGAGATTTGGTACACCTCAATTAATGTTGTAAAATAGACACACGACTCATTTGTTGGAGTAATTAAGTACTGTAAGTAATCCGTATTCATATAGCACCTTTCGCAGAGTCACAAAGCGCTTTACAATTGTGGCCATATGTCTCTCACTCCACACAGAGATAGGAGCAGGGTTGCTGTACAGTAGGCGCATACCAGACCTATTGTACATGTTTTTTAGGGGTAGGGTTAACCAAAGCACCCGCAGGAAACCCATGCAGACACAGGGAGAACATACAAACTCCACTCAGAAAGGCCCCCGTTCCGACCGGGATTCAAACCCAGTACCTTCTTGCTGAGAATCGAGGCGCTAACCATTAAGCTTGACTGATTTCTGACTACATTATCTCATAGCAGAGGTGGAAGACAGAATTTGAACTTTTCTGGACATGACTGGATCCATGATAAGTCTCTTTACTTTGACTTGTGGCTTTAGATTTGAATTTAACTTGAAAAAAATCTATGAACGCAAATGTTACTTTTAGCTCTGCATATCTTTATGAGCTTTTCTTGTAATGTTAAGACTTGGACTTCCATCTACTGACTGACTAGCGTGTTCTCACAGATCATCATTCATCTCTACTTCTTTAAACACTTGCATCCAATCTCTTCCAAGAATCTAAAGTGATTCTATAAAATGTCATTCATATTATTAAAAGTAATCCAACCTTTGCGATGTACTCGAGTCTGGTGTAGTCCTTGTTTTCCTGCAGCGGTTTCGCGGGCAGGATCCACTCTCGTCTTTTTCTCACCAGGGAATTTGCATAAGCTGCTGCCACAACCTGAAGACACACACATGACATTATTATTAAGTGACATTGATATATCTTTTTATGAAAGCAAGGAGCATCTGTCTGTTTGTGCCCATGCTAATGAGTTATGGCAATACTCAGTCAACACAGCTAAGTTTGAAAAATGTGATTTATGTATTTAAAAAGGCACTAAAAAAAGGGTATATTACAACAGAAAATCAGGATAAGTTTATTTAAAGTGTGTTTTGGAGTTGTCAACACAAGCCTCTCATTTCCTCGTTATGCTTGCGGCAGTGTATTGATCTCATCTAGACAGAATGTTCCTGGCAAAACACCGTGTCTGAAGTTGGACTGCAACTTCAACAAGACTCTTGAGATTAAGATTTCAACAAGCCCAAACTTATATCAATTACAATAAAATAACCCTTTTAGTCTCCTTGATCTCCTTAACTTTGACCAAAACCTCAAGGTATACATATGGATAAATGATTAAATTCCTGGGTACAACAACCACACACAGCCATGCTATTTTTCATTCAAAATATTCCCATGAATGTATTCCCAAATTAAATGAGGAAGAGCAAACTGCAGGGTCTCCTTGTACTCGAGTAGAAATGTTCCCATAAACACAGTAATGATAGTCCTTGTGTATCCACCCTGTCTCACTCTGGTAACTGCGGAGACACGCAACAAGTATGAGGGCTATGTTTATTTAACAATACAACTTTGGTTTAGCAAGAGTTAGCGGTAATTTTGGCGCCAATGTTTCTCAGACGCAACGAAGAGCTGCTTTTAATTCAATTTGATTCAATTTACTATTGTATAACCCTAAATTACAACAGTCTCGGAGGACTTTATAAAACCGTTGAATTCGCCAACACAGATCAGAGAATAAAACCATTGGTAATGGTCCATAAGGGGCAGATTGACTAATGCTCATAAGTGCCGATAAATGTCAATAAATGTTAAATATTGAGTGTCCTGGATCATCACCACGGTCCTTTTAGTTAGACCTCAGAAGACTTTTACAACATATTTGCTCTGCATTCATGGTGATATTTAGGATGAAATGTGTGATTGGAACGACCTGTAGGGATATAAGGCAATTTTAGGCTATAGTTAGTAGTATAGTATAGTAGCTCAGTTGGTAGAGCATTGGCCTTTGGGCCTGAAGGTTGTGGGTTCAAGCCCACCATAAGACCTACTTCACGACTCCCACTGATGACTGCTGTCATTGTGTCCTTGGGCAAGACACTTAACCCCACTTTGCCTGAAGCTCCCACTGAAAGATCTCAGCACCTGTGGACTCACCACCTGCAGGAGGATCAGTGAGGGGCTGGTGCTAAGTGTACTGGGTGCATCTCTGACTGCCACCCCCCTGACCCAGAAATGGATTAAGGGGAAGAAAATGGATGGATGGATGGATGCTTCAATTACCCCCAAACTAGAACAAAATTTTTTTTATTGCAGTGTTTTTGAGAATTGGCAGCGGCAGGAGAAGTGATGGATGTCCCTTCAAAGGATTGCCTTGGGGGAGCTAGTTTTTAAAGTTATTTGAATGTACTGTCCTAAATCTTTTCTTTTTTTTTCTCTTTTGGCCCCTGCAGTCAAAGCATGTATTTAAAATTGTCCTACAGAAATTCATCTTGAGCTGGGAAAGAATATTGTGCAGTTCAATTCAGTTCATTTTCTTAACAGTTCAGTTATAGCTCACTTTTTCCCACACGTTTCTTTATTAGAGTTTTTTCTTGCCGATACAGGAGGGTCAAAGGACGATGGTGGTGATCCAGGATACTTGACATCAGCAACATTTTTGGACATTTATCAATATTCATGGACATCATCTGCCCCTTATGGCTTAGAGTTTTGTAAAGTCCTCCGAGATAACTACTGTTGTGATTTAGGGCTATAAAAGAATAAATATAATTGAATTGAAGAGAATAGAAATGTAATTATATGTTCTATTTCCACAAAGACAGTCAAACTAAGGATGACATACAGCAGCCTAGTTGGTATAAAGAACCCAAAAAGTGGTGACATTTTCTTGTTACAAAGACGACATTGTTTTCAGTTTCATTAATCAGGCTTGATTAATGTGATAAGTTCACATCAAACTGCTCTATGAAGCCCAATCACTCACATTGAATATAAAAACCTTGTCACACCTTTGGCCTGCTCCCTCAGTGATACAACCAGTGACCCTAACCCTAACTTCTGCTTTTCTTTGAGAAAAACATAATACAAATCTTCTAAATAATAATAATACGTTTCTGTTAGTTAAAAACAGATAGACAACTATATAACAATTGTACAATCAACACACATATACTATTGACTTCAGTAATACAATAATAATAATAATAATAAAAGAAAAACTCACAATTGTTAGAAGTAAGACGACACAAGCGGGTAAAAAAATGCGAACCATCGTTGAAAGAGTGTCTTGAGTGTAAAATGATAGGGTCCTTTTGTTTCCAGGCCGTGGTCCGTGAGGGTCTGTGTTTCGGACTGAACTGAGCCGTGGAGACATGCGGGACCATTTATAAAGAGGAGGGGGAGGTCTCACCTGTACTCACGCACATCACCTGGAATCTGTACGTCCCACCGTCACCCAGCCCTCCCCCACACTTTCTACACACGTACATACACGCACACACACACACACACACACACACATACACACACAAACTCACCACAGCCTGAGGGCACTGTAGTTGTCAGTTTCACTTCTTCACTCTACCTACGTTTTCTCACTGTAACTTTAGGGAAATTTAGGTCGGCCCTTGCTGCCTGTTAGAAGGGAGCCACATTGTATTAAATGCATTAAATTGAAGAATGATGAAGAGTACAAATCATAGCCATCGTCATCACAAAAACAATCAAGTAAAAATAAGGAATTCATCTTGAATTTCGCGCTTACAGGACAGTATTAAGAGCACACAAGGAGCGCACAAAATATAGAGAGATAAGTAGCAAGTAAGTATACAGCAAACAGTGTATATACATATATGGCAGGATATATAAAGTAGATAAAGTGGGAGTCAATGGACTGGAATTGGAGTATTGCACATTGCAGTCAATTTACAGCATTTATAATTAATACAAATAAATACTTTCTACTTCTCTGTTATTATACCAACAAGAAATCTGTGTGAGGATGTGAGTGTGTCTGTGGATATGTGTGTGGTTTTGTTCTGCATTTGTGTTTAAGTTTTACTTCAAGTTTAAAATCCATACTTGTATATTTGTTAGTTTCCATTCATAAGCTTTAAAGATCTTCTCAGGGTCCATTTGTCACAAGTATCACAGAGATATGCACAAAACATGTTACGTATTTGATATCTGTGGTGATGTGAACATAAATGGATCAAATTGAATTAGAGCAAAAGCCTTTCTAGGGATGGACATTTAAAATTAGCCCAGACTGTAAATGTTGTAGTCTTTCACGTGTTGATTGTGTACACTTGCTTCTATCATATAAACAAATACATGTTTTTTTTTTGCCAAAAAAAGGACTTAAAAACTGCCTGATTACTTTACATGTATTTTCAACTGTAACTCTATGAACAAGTCACATCTCAAAAAATATTAAAAATAGGGTTAGTTTGTTTTTTGAATGATTATGGCTCATGATCCTTTTTCAAAATATTCAAATAATTCAAGATTTTTTTTCAAGACAATTTCTGTGAGGCAATAATCAATATGATCAGAAAAAAGGCTTCCTATATCTCACTTTGCGAATAATGATAAACTCGCTTACACATAAATTCCATAAATTACAGAAGTAAATCAACTTTTGAATTTCAAGTTTCGTCTATATGCCCCTCAAAAAATATTCTAATTCATTTTAAATTTAGGACATAAGACTTTCTCCAAATGCCTGTTTGTTTGATTATTTGTAGAATCCTGGTTTGAATACTGACAACGGAGAGATGTTTAAATTGTATAGTTTATTTAAAGCTGCATTTCAGATTCTTTCTGAAAATGTGAGACAGGCTTATTCCCTGAGAATGTTCAAATCTAGGTTAAAAGCAGTTCCGTTTAGCTGTGCAAACAACTGAAAGATTTGATCTTTGCTCTTTTTAATGTACTGTGATTATTTATAATTTCAATGCCCTGTGTAACTTGTGTATGAATTGGGCTGTACAAATAAACTTGCCTTGCCTTTCCTTGCCTAAAGTTATAGCTCTATGTATTCGGGGGAGACATTACTGAATCTTTTGGAGGGTTAATGCCGATGTGATGATGTCAGGACACACCTACAGATGATATGGAGTTTTACCAGTGCCACGCCTGTACCATCGAGATGTTACAGCACATTTTGTTATCACAGTCGCCTGATGATGTAAACGTTGGTTTTAGTTCCTTCAGTCTTTCAAGTTTCAATCAATAATTATTTCTAGAGTACTTGAAGCTGGGATACCTCACTTTTTCACATGGTCAAAAAACATGTGACAGAGGGCAAAAATACTGTACATACATGTGAAATCTATTTATAACCAAACTGATTTGAGAAGGAGAAAGTAAAGTTTGATGGATACAGTAGTTCCATTATTTGTTGTTTGAAAGTTAGGTACCCTAGCTTTAAGAACCCAGACTAGATTGAAAGGGCATCAAATGGGAAAAAGTACATGTGATTGGAAAATATGGTGTGTGCACATACAACTAATGGTATCAATGTATTGATGCCATTAAAGAGAATAGAGAGTGCATTTATGTCTTTTTAAATAGGACCCATGATCCACTAAGCGAATTGCCCGGGTCAATTATTCGCTTAACTAAACAAAACTTCATGGAGGAGGGTCTGCTAGCCCATGGCATGCTGGGTACTCAGGAAAGTCTGGACATTTCCACTTGGCTGCTGCACTTTTAGGGCCGCTGCACTGCTCGCAAAAAAAAAAAAATATATATAAACAATGTCCAAAGCTGACAGACACACTCTCAATGGTGCACACTAGGGTGGTCTTGCACAGTTTTTCCAATGTGATTTACTGCAAAAGGCAAATACATTCTTGAATCTTGAATCAATGCACAATGTACAAGATAAATTACTAAATGAAAAAACACCCCGGAATCAGAATCAGAATCATTTTTATTACCACGTAAGTAACAGGAAGTCATAGACTTGGAAATTGCTTTGGCAGAGCTCATGCGTTTAAAAAAACAATTGTGATGCTGCTTTGAAACCTTTTGTATCAATCTATCTATACTTCAATTACATAGAAATATGAATGTTTTGATAATGTCGTGGTGTCATTATAAATCTATGTTGCACTAAATTTGTGAATATCACCCATTCTCAAATTGAATTGAATTCGATTTATTTAGCCCTAAATCACAACAGTAGATATACCAGAGGACTATACAAAGTTGTTGATTCGCCAACACAGATCAGAGAATCAAACAGCATGACGAGAGAGTCTGCAGGTTCTACTAAAATACCAGTGAAAATGTCTCGACGTCTTGACATCCTTGGCCAAACCAGTTCAGCAGGAAATCTCTCACTCTGCTTTAGATACGGTCCAAACAGAAGAGCGGCTTTTACCTGGAATGACTTTGACACACCTTCTGAAAGATCACAGCTTGATTGTTCCTTTTTCATAAATCTATTATGAATAGTTCCACTGAACTCTGCACCCTTCAAGGGCAGGGCTTTCAAATAAAATACAATGTAATTTTTTGTTGACAAAAAAAACAGTACAGTTTTGAGCGGAATTTTTTTTATCCTACATTTCTCCATTGTGAAATCAATAAAGTTTATCTGATCTTCCACAAGACCCGTTGTATTTACTGTGCGTTCTGTGGATGTGTGGTGGATTAGAAAACATAAAAAGTGCAGAATTTCATGGACATTGGTCAACTTCCCACAGACCGATACATTTGTGTTATATGTTCTTTGGGTTTGAACTGTTTGATTCTCTGATCTGTGTTGGCGAATTCAACGGTTTGTCCTCTGAGCTAACTACTGTTTTGATTTTGTTTAGGGCTATATAAGAATACGTTGAATTGAATAGAATTTCTATACCTGCACCTATAGCGTAATGTTTATTTATATTGCGCATTTTACAGACCAAGGTCACCCAACGCGCTTTACAATGTTCAGAGTTCAGATATTGTTCCAATCATTCCAAAAGTGATGACGGAAGCTCAGTGATGACTCAGTGATGACGGAAGCGAGTCGCCGAACACACTGACGCATCAGCCCCCAATCAACGCCATCCATTCACTCTCTCACTTAAAAACATGCACAATAGGTATGAATATACCTATTGTGCATGTTTTTAGTGGTAGGGGAAACCGGAGCACCCGGAGGAAACCTACGCAGACAAGGGGAGAACATGCAAACTCCACTCAGAAAGGACCTGTTCCGACCGGGTTACGAACCCAGGACCTTCTTGCTGAGAGGTGAGAGTGCTATCCACTCAGCCACCAATGTGAATGTTGAATGTATTTTAGTATTTTCAGCTTATTTTATGTAATATGCTCATGTTACAAACATTGCAAAAAAAAAAATCCAGTTTGGCTAATTGTATCTTAATTTGAGGACATTGTGACTGCCTTAAAAAGAGATTTGCCAATGTGACAAGCTAAATCATCTTGTTAAGATGAAGCAACAGTTCTTGAAATATGATAAATGCCTAATGCAAATATAATTGTGTTCTGGATCAAAACTCATGTCTATTCATGCAGTAACTAATTTAGTGAAATGCAAACTGAATAAACATTCTTACATACCCTTTGTCTTTCAAATCTTTCCAGATGGAACCAGACCAAAAGGTTCTTGGTGTGATAAGAAACATAAATCAAAAGTATTTTCATTTTAGAAGAGAGATAGACATGTCACCACCTGCATCTTTGGATCTGTATCTTATCTGTAGATAATATGCAGAAATCTCACATTGTGAAGAGTATGGGAACCTCACAGTTGGTACAGACACCACTGCAAGATTCAAGATTCAAGATTAATTTATTATGTCCCGTAGGAAATTTGTCTTGGACTCACAGGTTGCTACATTGAAAATACACATAAGACAGACATAAAACACAACACAGTAACACCGACATAAACCATCACCGCTCTGCTCGATGGCCTGCATTCAGGAGGTTCACAGATATGGGTAGGAATGAGTTCTTATACCGGTTTAGATATCGTTTCTTATTTCTAGTGGGTACTCTGTAGCGGCGGCCTGATGGGAGGAGCTCATATTGAGGGTGGAGGACATGGGAGGGGTCTGAGGTGATCTTCCTGGCCTGTCTAATTACAGTCTCCTCAAATATCTGCTGCAAAGATGGATGCTCCCTAACTCCCATGACTTTAAAGGCTGTGCGCACTAATCTGTAAAGTTCTGCTTTTGTTTTAACAGTCAAATTCCCAAACCACACACACATACCATATCTTATTACACTCTCAATTACAGCATGATAAAA